TATTTTATTAATGTTTCATTTGATTTCTCATTTAAGTATTTCATTAATTAATTATCTTAATTGGTTATGTATATTATTTATTTATTATTTCACTTATAAAAATTTCATATTATGTATTTAATATTAATTGGTTTCGTATATTATTATTTAATATTTTATTACATTATTTAATTATTTAATATCTTTAATTTTTTATGTATATTATTTAATTACTTTATGTAATTATTTATTTAATCACTTTTTAAATAAAAAATTAGTATTTTATTTGATTTCTTATTTAGATATTTCATTAATTAATTATTGTAATTGGTTGTGTATATAATTATTCATTTTAAACACTTACTCAAATAAAAAACTAATATTTAATTTATCAATAATCTTAATTGGATATTTTAATCATTAGCTTATTTGATTTCTCGTTTAAATATTATTTCATATTTCATTACCTTATTTAATTATTATTTTAATAATTTACTTAATAAAAATTAATATTTAATTTAATTTCTCGTTCAAATATTTTTTAGTTACCTTAATTGGTTATGTATACTTAATTACTTTATTTAATTACTTGTTTAAATAAAGAATTTATATTTAATTTAATTTCTTATTTAAATATTTCATTAATTAATAATCTTAATTAATTAATAATCTTAATCGTAATTACAAAAGAAATTAAATGTACAATATCGATATAAAATTTACAATTATTTTGTAATTACAAAAGAAGTTAAATGTACAATCTTACAAAATGAAATTCACAGTTATTTTAATTGTTTATTTTAATTGCTTGTGTATATTATTTATTTATTTAATTATTTATTTACTTCATTAATGGAGTATGACTATATGTTCCTCATCGAGTCCATCCAATACCGATACAACGTAACTTTTCCCAAAATAAGCTTTTATGATATTGTTTAGGTGGGATTCCATTATGCAAAATTAATACATGTTAAAAACATTTATTAGAAATTATTAACATTTATCATATTTTAAAATTTAACAAATCAAATTAGATGCATTAGTATGTAAGAAATAAAATCATTTCCTCGCACATTAAAAAGAGTAAATAAAAATTTAATTAAAGCAAAAAAATGAAAATGAAAAATAAATTATGGAAAACGAATTAAATTAGAAAATTTTTAAAAAAATTATAAGATTCTTGATTTTGTTCCCAAAAAAAGAAAAAAAAATCGGGTGCGGGCCGGGTCGGCCCTTCGGACCCCGACGGTCCAGGCCGTCCGGATCCGGACGACCCAGACCATGGTCCGTTACGGACTGTATGAAGGTTCGAATCCGGACGCTCCAGACCCGGTTTGATGAGAACTCATCGCTCATCGGAAAACTCCATTTCCGACGAATTTCAATCCTTTTTTTAATTTTTCTGAGTCATTTCAACCTCAAATTCGATATTTTCTTCCATTTTAACTATAAATAAACTTCAAAATTTGTTTTTAACTTATAACATATTCAATAAACAAATTTTCAAATTTCAAACATTAACAGCAGCAAAAAATATTTCAATGAAGAATAAGAAAGAAACTAAACCCTTTGAGAAATGACGATCTCTGGCGATGCTCTGATCTGGATCGTTCGGTGTCAATAATGAGATTTTACTTTTTTATTTTTTCTCTTCTTTTCCACTTCTCTTTTTTGTATTTTCAACTATTTGGCCTTTGTCTGCATTTTTAGAATTTGTTTTTTTTTTTAATTTTTTTGGTCAAAAGCCGTTTTGAAAAAATGGCCGGGTCAAACCGGCCGTTGGCCACTATTTCCTCGGAGGAAATGGTGGGCAATGGCTGCCCCACCCGGTATGTTTATCAAAATAGCCTTTGACCAAGTTTTTTTAAAAAAAAAAAAAAAAGAGGGAAAATGTTATTATTTGTGTAGGGTCGAAAATACCCCCCATCAAGGAAAGAAGAGAAGAGAAAATAGAGAGAAAAAAAAAAGAAAAAATCTGCCCGGACCGTCGACGTCGCCTACGGACTGCCCGGACCTCACCAACTTCAACTAAGACCAGAGCCACCTCGATTCGCCGGAGACCGTCATTTTCTGGAAGGTTAGACATGTTTTCTATAAATAACAACTTCGAATTTGTGAAAGTTTGAATGTTTAGTATATGAATATGGGTTAAATTCATGTTTTTATGGTTAAAATATAAGAAAATATTGAATTTGAGGTTAAAATGTTGAAAAAGAGTGAAAAAAGGGGACGGAGCTCGCCGAAAATGGAGTTTTCCGGCTGCTCCATCGCTGCTGGTTCGTAACGGACCAGAAATGGTCCGTTACGAACCACAGTGATGGTCTGTTACGGCTACCGGACACACCGACCCGGATTTTGGTCCGGGTCGGCTAGCCGGCCCAAATCCGGGTCCGGACCCGGATTTGGGTCAAAAATAATTTTTTTTTTTTAGAATTATTGTTTTATTTTTGTGTTAAGAAATAAAATGAAATATAAAATAAATTATATATTAAGAGAATTAACGAAATATTTAAAGATAAATTAAATTGAGTTTTAATTTTTTTTTCTTTTTTACTTAAATATACGTTTCAAATAAATAATTGAAATTGATTAATTAAATATGAAATAAATAATATACATAATTAACGAATTATTTAAAGAATAAATTAAAAAAAGCAATATCTTTTTTACTTAACGAACTAAGATAATGAATTAAAGAAATAGTAAAAGGAAAAATCGAATAGATATTATTCAAATAAATAATCGAAATAGAGTAATTAAATATGAAATAAATAAAACACAGGATTAACGAAATATTTAAAGAATAAATGAAATTGAATAATATTTTTTTACCTAACCAATTAAGATAATTAATTAAAAAAATGGTGAAACGAAAAATCGAATAAAGATTATTATTTTTATTCAAATAAATCATCGAAATAAATAATATACATAATTAACGAAGTATTTAAAGAAGAAATTAAATGAAATAGTATTTTTTTACCTAACCATATAGTGAAACGAAAAATCGAATAAATATTATTATTTTTATTCAAATAAATAATCGAAATAAATAATATACATAATTAACGAAATATTTAAAGAATAAATTAAAAAAAACAATTTTTTTTACAATTAGAACTAAAAAATAATTAATTAAAGAAATTGTAAAAGGAAAAATCGAATAAATATTATTAAAATAAATAATTGAAATAGAGTAATTAAATATGAAATAAATAAAACACATGATTAACGAAATATTAAAAGAATAAATTAAATTGAATAATATTTTTTTACCTAACCAATTAAGATAATTAATTAAAGAAGTAGTGAAACGAGAAATCGAATAAATATTATTATTTTTATTCAAATAAATAATCGAAATAAATAATATACATAATTAACGAAATATTTAAAGAATAAATTAAAAAACAATACTTTTTTTACTTAACGAACTAAGATAATGAATTAAAAAAATAGTAAAAGGAAAAATCGAATAAATATTATTGAAATAAATAATCGAAATAGAATAATTAAATATGAAATAGATAAAACACGTGATTAACGAAATATTTAAAGAATAAATTAAATTGAATAATATTTTTTTTACCTAACCAATTAAGATAATTAATTGAAGAAGTTGTGAAACGAAAAATCGAATAAATATTATTATTTTTATTCAAATAAACAATCGAAATAAATAATATACATAATTAACGAAATATTTAAAGAATAAATTAAAAAAAATAATTTTTTTACTTAACGAACTGAGATAATGAATTAAAGAAATAGTAAAACGAAAAATCGAACAAATATTATTCAAATAAATAATCGAAATAGAGTAATTAAAAATGAAATAAATAATATACATAATTAACAAAATATTTAAAGAATAAATGAAATTGAATAATATTTTTTGTACTTCATCAATTAAGATAATTAATTAAAGAAATTGTAAAATGAAAAATAGAATAAATTTGTAAATAATATATATATATATATAGTCAGATAATTAACGAAATATAATTTTTAAATAAATATTAAATAGTCAAATATGTGGAAATTTTTTTGTTTAACTGTTTTAATATGTGATTAGATGAATTTATTTATTGGTTTATTAATATGAAATTTGATTGGTTAAATTTGAAGGTACGATATTTTATTTAAAATTTCTTTTATATGGTTTTAACATATATTAATTTTGTAGGATGGAATATCATATCGACAACGATCTGAGGGCTCATTCGGGAAAAGTTACGACGTATTGTAACTTTTCCAGCTATGCGACAGTACTTGAGGGGCTGGACGAGGAGCATATTGACTTACTCTGTCGATCGTTTTTATGGTCGTTCTATCCATTGAAGGACGTGCAGTTCTCTGGACAGATTGTTGATTCTTTATTACTCCGGCTGCTTAAATCAGTCGATGACGATCAGTTATATTTTGCTATTGGGGACGGGAAGGTATGTAGATTCTCGATCCTTGAATTTACCCTGATTACGGGCTTGAGATGTACCGAGGAAGAAGAAGCTAGAGCCCGTATTATACGAAATAAAAGGTTATTGGATTTATATTTTGGAGGTAAAGGGCCAGTTACACCACCACAGTTAGAGGACGCATTTAGGAAATGCGTTCACATGTTAGACAAGTTGAAGTTAGGGTTGGTGTATATACTGGAGAGTATATTGAGGTGTCGACATCGTAGGACGTCGATTGATCTTTTTTCATTGGATGTTGTTGATGATATCGATGCTTTCAACAGCTTTCCATGGGGTCAGAGATGTTACACCGATACTCTCCATGTATTCAAAAGGGTACACACTATGCCGAAATCGGAGAGGGGCGATCGCAAATATGATGTATATGGCTTTTGCATGGCTTTGCAGGTAAATATTCAGTGTAACGTAATGCGTGTTGAACTTTTTTATTAAATGTATATGTAAAGTTTTATTTTGTAATTGTTGCAGTTGTGGGCATATGAGGCTATCCCTGCTTTGGGTAGCAAATGGGCGATCAGAAGGAAGACCAGCTGCCCACGAATGCTTCATTGGCGAGCACATGAAAAGCCATCGGCTAAAGATTTGACAGTTTTCCTCGACGATCCTCAGGTGAGTATTACATATTTGCAATTTATATTGTACATACATTTACTCGGGTCGATACATGTTCGTTAACACGTTGAAATATGGTATGTCAGCTCGAAGTTCATGCTGAGTTGGTTGTCTCGGTGGAAGAGGAGGATGCAATATATGTACGTGAATTACTTGTTCCCCCTACTGAAGACGATCCAGTATTTGAGTCCGTTCCGGATAGAAATATAGTACGTTTATTTAAGTTTATTATTTATTTTGACTTATAAATTCATGTGTGGATTATTAATATTAATTGTCTTCTCTGTGTAGGAGCGCCATCCGGAACTTCCACTTAGGAGATCTCCTTCGCCTCCACCGATGAGATCTCCGTCACCTCCACCGATGAGATCGCCTCTACCGCCATTATCTCATTCTCTGAGGATATCTCCGTCTCCCGTACCCACCCACCTCCCACATGGATCGCCTACACCCAGTCAGACCCGTCATTCAGATGATTTCTTTGCACGCATGACTGGCATTATTAGAGAGGAGCTGGGAACGATGCGACGTGATTTTATGACAGAGGTAGTCGCATTACGAGAGGAGATAGGGGTATTGCGACGGAATTTTACGACAGAGATCGTCGCAGTACGAGAGGAAATAGGGGTGCTGCGACGAGATTTTACGACAGATGTAGTAGCTTTGCGAGATGAGATTGGAGTGCTGCGACGAGATATAGGAGACCTTCATACTGAGGTTGCAGCACTTCGAGGCGATGTAGCAGGCGTCCGAGGGAATGTCGGGGAGACTGGTGTCCCTCGAGATTGGTGGGCAACGACCGGGGGAATCGATGAGTTTTTTGGTTAGTGCCGGAGGCCGAGAGGGAGGGGATGGAGGTCGGGCAGGAGGAGCCGGAGGAGGTCGGGCAGGAGGAGCCGGAGGAGGCCGGGATGCCCGGGGTGGAGGTCGGGCCGGAGGTGCCGGAGGAGGCAGAGATAGAGGGGGGGGAGGGAGGGACAGGGGTGGCCGAGGAGGTAGCGGGGGGGACATCAGAGGGGGTAGTAGAGGGGGATGATCAGGTTGCGGAGGATGAGAGGACGCCGGAGATGACGGATGACGAGGTAGTATTCGTGTCCGAGGGGGCGACGGAGGTCCCGAAGGGTAAGAAGCGTGCTGCTGACGCGCCAGAGCTGATGGTCGGTAAGAGATCAAGATTGCCGTCACAGTACGTCGTTTCTCCCTACACGGTCGAGGCGAAGAGAAGGGGATTTGTGGATGGGGCGTACCCCAATCTTTTTCGCGACGTCGACCCAGTCAGACAGAAGGCGTTCGATGATTGGTTTAAATCCCTTTAAGTCCGAGTAAGTATTTTATGATGTTGCTACTATTTTTTGTATTTTTGGTAACTGTTTTTTCATTTTTCAGAGATAGTTATACCATCGGCTGTATGACCGTGCCCAATGCTAAAAAGTGGTTTGAAGATGTACTGACGACCTCAGCTTGGCTCGCTGATGATGTAAGTTTTTTGAGTTTCCGTTTATTATATTTATACAAGTTGTTGGTTCATTTACTTAAATGACTCTATCTTTTTTGTTGGTGTTTTTTTGTTTCAGCATATCGACTTGGCTATGGAATTGTTACGCGATCGGGCGCGGAGATACCCGAGATCGTATGACAGTCCTACTCGAGTTATCTTGAGCGCTGAGTTCGTTCGTGTCGTAGATATTGAGCATCAGGAGCTCCTAAGCAAGGGGAATGATTATGTTCTGTCTGAGTACATGCTGGAGTGGGTGATTGGACTACAGTTGAGGTGCGGAAAGCCGTGGACGGATTGTACACATATGTACATTCCAGTGATCGTGAACTCACACTGTTTTTTGGTGGAGATCGTATTTGCTGATTCCACCATATATGTGTACGACTCTGATCATAGTTGTCTGACACAAAGTCAATTGGAGCAAATACTGGAGCCATTGGCTGTGATCGTGCCCATGATGGCTAGTCATGCGATGATTCGAGTAAATGATAGATTAGCCATTGTACGGAACACGACGACGGTGAGACAAGAAAGATCGTAAGGATTTACAACTTTTAAATTTTCAGATTTAATTTTCAATTATATGTTATGGAACTAATATCTTCTAATTCGGTTGCAGGGGTGACTGTGGCATATTTGCAATCAAGTACATAGAGTTCTTGAGCATTGGTCGCAATGTTGATACAATAAATCAGTCTTCGATTGATATGTGGAGGCATAAATTAGCTTGCGACTTGTATGATTATAATTGTGATCCTTAGTACATTGTAAATTATTTTATTAAAATGTAAATGTTGTTTACTTCAGTAGAATTCGTGTTGTACTGAAAGAAAGAAATAATCGAAATAGAGTATATTGTATGATATTATTTTAAAAATTTAAATGATAATCGGGAATTAAATGGACTAAATCGGATGCAATTGGAAAAAAATGACCGATTCATGTAATATTTGGTTCGAAAAAAGCTTTAAAAATTTTGGGGGCCTAATTGCAACTTTTTAATAGTTGATTCGAAACATAAAACGATAATCGAGAATTAAGATAATTAATTAAAGAAATAGTGAAA